GGAATTTAATTTGATAGCATTTGTGAAAGTTTGGGTAAAGCACATTATTTTCAGTGTTTCATGAACCTGTCAAAGACTTCTTGTATTAGCAGATAATCATTCCAATTAGAGACTGCATGGAATACTTAAAACATTCTGAAATATCATTTATATAGATGTTGAAGAGTAGTGGACTCAAATGTGATCCTGGGGAACCCAGATGTTGTGCATATTGAGTTTTTTATATTGATTGTGTTACGTTACTGCTCATATACATATTTTGTAATCCGTATTTTGTTTCTTGATATTTGTGAAACTATCATATATAACTTTTCATTAGCATAAAGTTCTCATCATTAATTGAAATTAAAAAGTAACATTGAAATTGTTAATTGAAATTAACATTAAAATATTACACCACAAGGTACCTGTAAGAGGGCTACATCTTCAACAAGACGTAGAAACACTAGCAGTACTAATTCTGTTTGAGTTTCTCCACAGGAACAGGCATCCGACAATTCAGATAACAAACCAGGCCATTGCTGAGGCCATTCTCTTTTCACCATTTCAACAACTACTCGACTGAGAGCGTCTTTCATATGAGATTCGTCACTGATGCCCCCAGCAGATAGAAGTTTCATTGCATTTTCCTAAAAAAAATTAATCAAATATCAAATATGAGTAAAAAAAAACGTGTGCGTCTTGGAACGCCCTACAGAAGTGATAACTTAAACTAATCTAAGTTGAATTATTTAATATTGAAATAGTTATATTTTATGTATATTAATTTGATAANGTAATACCTAATATTGCAGGGTATATAGTAAAAATCTTGCTGTAAATTGTATCAGTTATTGTAAAGTTCATATAAAATATTATTTATTATTACATTTACAAGCATTAAATTACATGTGTTTCAAAAATAAAAGTGTTCTTACCTACAAATAATATATTTTATATCACAGCATCAATAGTCAAACAGCATTTAGGCTGGTACAACTACTCTTGTATGATAATTTATAAATTAATATATGATTGTCCAAAAACACATAAAACATAAATTATTTGTACAAAGAGAAAAAAAAAGCAAAAATTAGTTAAAATGTAGATATTATTTAAAAATACTCAATTTCTTCCATTTATTTCCTAAAAAATGAATTTTTTCAATAATAAATATTTTGAATTTCATGTTCAGGCAATTTATTGAAGGCGAAAAGTGAATCAAGTGTAAATCTTTCCTGGCCAGCTATAGAGTTTGCAGTATTGAGATGAAACAGACTTTGTTGGCTAGTTTCTGAGCCTGTCCATTGAGAAATATTCTTCCATATCTTCAACATTCAATAAATATTTGATTCAGCTAAAAATTTGTAAATCTAAAATTTGCTACTTCTTGTTTTAATTTAGAACACCTTCGCAGCGTTCCAATAATGGAGTCCGATTCTTTACTATTGTTTTCAAGTAATTTTATTTTTGTTATTTCAACAAAAAACATACTTAAGACCCAGACATAAGTAGCAGGATTTTTGGTCTTTCATATGCAATGTCCTGTAAAAAATTCAGTTTTCAGAAAATCTGGGAGTTTAATTTTAATGGGTATGAAGCCAAAAAAGATATCCCTTTTGGGATTAAAAAACACTATGTCTTGTGCTGATGAAACCAGAGTCTCATTTGATGAAAAATACAAAGTATGTTTATGACAACCACGTACTTTTACACATTGGGTCTGAGTTTCAAGAAAGAAATGCTAAGAAGAATTAGAGCTAATTCAGTTTTTTAAATTCGACTTTGTGGACGGATGAATGAAACTTAGGGAGCACATGAATATTCAACAAACATAATTTATACTAGGCAGTAGAAAACTCAATAAGAAACTATCACTTTCAGCACCAGTATGAGCTGGTAAAATAAATGAAAGATCAATTGGTCCTTTTCAAGATTTTTTATACATTTTGACAGCCAAGTATGGGAAGTTTTAACAAATGCCTAACAAAAAAGATGAATGGAAAAGAGTAACGTCCCTGGATCTGAACCCTCTTGTTTTTTTTTGGGATAAAGGAACATGTATATGAAAGAGAATGTAATAATGAACAAGATTTGCAAGAACGAATTCATCATGAAGTGATGAACTATCGAATAATCTACCAGCATTTAGAAGTCTTTGACGCTGAAGGCTAAGCATTAGAGCTGGAGAGAGACATTTCAAACATTAATTGTCAATATTTTTTTGAATAATTGTATTATGTCCTCATATTAAATTACTATTGAATGTATTGACCCCTTGTTAGAAATAAAAATATTACTACCTACAAATGTAAATGGCACTAAAATCTTTGGTAACAAGATGTTTTGCATAAAGTAAAATCCTATTTTACTCAGCAAAAAAATATAGTTTTCACCTAAAGGGTAATTTTTATATGTTGTCTTCAGATAAGACCCTAAACTATTGCCAATTAAAAAAAAACTCAAATGTCCCAAATATTCTGAAAATTAAAGATCAGTAAATACTCCTACTCAACTTATTAAAAAAAACATTGAAAATGTCCTTGGGTTTTTCTTTTATAACAATAACATAATTTTTGTAAAAATCACAGAAATATCAAAAAACCATGTGAAATTAGACCCTAAGTTATAAAAACTGTTCTCTACCACCAGCTCCAGTTTGAAACAAGCCTCTAAAATAGTCAACTGTGCCACAATTTATCTCTCAAAGTTTACAAAAATTCCCATACATAGACTCAAATTTGAATAGCAACATATATAGAATAAATAAATTTTTAGAGCAGCAAACCTTAATGAACAGCTTTTCTTGTTGCGATATTTGAGTCCACCTATATTTAACTGTGTGTTCCATAAGTTGTAAACCAAAGTGTCTGGAAATAGGTGAGTGCTGAATACCAGCAGCCAAGTACAGACCTGCCTCTGCACACAGTGGTGAAGTTTCTTTAAAACTCTCACAAGCTTGGTAGGCCCTCATTCTATCCTGTTGTGAAGCACCATCACTTAGGGTTAGGTCGACCGCTCTTGCTAAATCTGCTGCTAATGCAGCAACGTCTGGTCCAGCCATTTCTAATTATTTCTGCGGCCAAAAATGTATATCAGTTCATAAATTGCGAGCACATTGAAGCAAGCATGCCTTTCCGTTTTTTCGTAGGAACCAGTTAAGTGGGGGAATACAGACAATTTGGCAGTGTGATGTAGGTTAAGGATCTGAATATATGTCTTGAAAAACTTACGAAAATTTAGTTTTTGTTTACGACATATGATTGGACATTGTTAAAAAATGTGCAAACCAATTTGACTTGACGGACGGTTGCTTATTTCATCCGATCACATTGGCTGAAAGGTTAAATCCTAAATCAGCNTTTTGCAGTAAGCTGACAGTTGACACTTGAATAATTGAATGCGCAGTCCTTATTACCTTCTAAGTCCTTATTACCTCATATTACCTCATGAGTGATGCGACCCCATGGTTGCCAACTGCGTTAAAATAATGACATTTGACATCTGCTAATAAATAAATAACCTATCTTTCTGAGTTTCTTCTGCATTTTCATTTTGGTAAATGAGAAACTGATTTCCAGAATATGTCTGAAAATATTCCAGTCGTCCTATATGAAGTTGGGGCTCCAGAATGAAGAATCAGCTATGAAGAAATATAGGATGGTTTTTCCCAATTATGTCCCAAAGCAAATGTCAAATTGTCAAATGTCATTATTTTACCGCAGTTGGCAACTATGAGGTCACATCACTTGAATCACATCAATTGAAGCTTAATGAAACTTATCACGAAAAGTAACATTGCCAAATTTCATCAAAATCAGTTGATGGATATTTACAATATTATATATTGAAAGAAGGATTTTTCAAAAAAGTTCAATACACCTTGCAGGACAGCTTAGTAGTAACGATGATAGTCTGTGGAATTAAGAATATAACACCCTGCATCTTTGAAACACCCCATTCGGACCTATAATATAAACTTTTTAATAACATTAACTCCCGAATATGCATTCACATTTTTTACCGCAATTAGGAAACATTTTTTTTATACGCTGTAAGCTTTTTACGACTCTCTATAATTTTTAGGACAAAGTGTACTTCGCCACAGTCAATAATCTCAAAGGTGTGATATTTTCTTGATCAAAAACATACCTAGGAATACTTAGAAACTATCGGAGTGATGGCACGTTTTGATAAAAAGTGAAATTTTCAACCAATAACCGCAGTTGGAATTATTTGTTCAGGCGATTAATTGCCCGTTGAAAATAGAAGTAGTAAACTGAAATAGTCCGATCGCAGTATATACCGCCCGACCGCTCTGAATTGGCTCAAATGAACTTTTGAAATAGGCATCAGAAGAAGAAAAGTATAAAAACGCCCCACTATTCTTTTTTACGTAGCCAGAATATTGGCGTGTTGTTTGTACCAGCGGCGGCTCGTCAGA